CTCATTTTTTCCTATTTATTTATTCTTGCACTTTTGAAAACCCTTTCAGGACTGCTTAATGCCCATAATAATGGTGACTGGAGGCATAGACAAGTTAGACACTCGTGGTTATGTCACTATGTTACCTCAAAATCCTTGAATTCACTACACCCTCTGAACAGCGCTTTACTTACTGTACATACTGCAGAGACATTTAATCAAGTGTTATGCAGTATGGTTATTATGTGGTAGTTGTACTGTAGAATCATAGAACAAAACAGTACTTCAGTCATTAAATGGTTAGTCTGATTGCCAGCACGTGAGATTAATTTCAAGTGTGGAATTTTTGCTTTGGATTGAATTTCATTTATAAGTACTAATTTACCACACTTGGCTGCATGACCTCAATATCAAATGATCTGACGTGGATATTCTCATTCATCAGCCATTGATAGTTCATTAAAATGGCTAATGTTGCCTTCATGTAAAAGAAATGGAGATGCTTGTAAAAATGTTCAGCTAAGGCATATTTTCCAAATATTAGAATATTATGGGGGTGATTGAATTATAATTTGTCTTTCTATCTCTGGGAAAGCCTGGAGATAGAACTATAACTCTGCGGACGTAGATGGAGAGGGGAGGAAAGTAGAACATCGATCGCTGTAGAAAAGTAGTCCGGTGAATGGGCATGGCAAAATGTAAAGTCTCAGGTTTTAAAAATTCAGATGATTGCACTATTATTGCCAAAGAATACCACATGCTTAACATCCCTGACGCTGAGTTTTCAAATTATAAATACCTTATTTATGGCCAGAGGGAAGACGCATTTTTCCTAAAGGTTTATCACTCCAGTTAAATGATCCAGGCACCAAAGCAGAATGAGGTTGTTATGTTCGTTTCTCTAAGGTTGACTTATTTGGTATGTTCTTTTCAATTGTCACATTGATTTGGGAGACCTATATGTAGCTTCTTAAAAATCTTAGGCCCAGTTTGTTATTTAAAAGTTGTATTTTCTACTAGGGTTCCAAACCTTTCAACTTTTCTTCCAGTTGAAGTCCTATATTCTGTAACTCCCACTTCACAAATATATATAGTGTTATTTTGTTCTCAAATTGTTTCAAATTATTTATTTTCTAGGTCTGTTCAACCTGAAGATATCTTAAACATCCTCCATAACAAAAGAAGGAGACTCATTTACAAAAAGGGGACATATCTGATTAGAGGGCAGGGCATGGTCCTGGTTCCTTCCAAAATAGTTCTTCATGTTAGAGGAAGAGGGTCTGGAGACACCCCCTCGCGTGGGCCTCGGTTCTTGGTAAGGACGCGAAGAAGAATCTGAGGTCTTACCCGTTGCAAGAGAGTTTATTGAAGATAAGGAGAGAACATCTCAAGAGAGAGGTGGGCCAGGCCAAGGAAGGCAATGGCCCCGGAAGGCTGGGGTGTAGAGTTTTTAAGCAAGGTTTTTGCATAATCTAGGAGGTAGTTTATTGACAGTCTTAATTGACAGCTGCCGTTTATATAATAAGAGGCTCTGCTGTGCATGTACTTCCCATAATTCAGTCTGCCTGTTATAATTAGATGTATGTATTCATAGAATATTTATGAACATTTAATGAGCCCAGTGGCCGCCAAAGGTTATCTAAGGACATGATGGCGTGAGGTGTGCGCATGTGCCAGAGTGGGGAAAGTCCCTCAGTCGGCCAGTGGGGGATTTTTCCAGTGCCCTATTTTGGAGTACTGATGGGGGCATGTTTGGGGCGGCGTTAGCATATAACTTGGCAGGATTAGGCGGCTATTGGACGTTCAGCCCACGGGGCACCTTTCGTTGCTCATGGCTAACTTCTTGCCTAACATTCATATCGTGATAAGAGTCACAAAAAAAGGGAGGCGGGAGGGAAATTACTTTTCTTCATTATTTAAATCAGAGAAGACCACCAGCTATTTCAGCATTTTTTTTTTTTTTTTGAGCTGACAATGATCATTTGAATACTGATTTAACTTGCTAAAAATCAACTTGAGGTTCCAGGGACAGGAAGGCAAATCAAACTTATGATAATCATCAAAATAGCTAGAGGAATAAGAGATGTTCCTGGAAAATCATATACTCAATAAATTGTGAATTTTCAGAATTTCAAGTTTCATTGAATTTATTAAGTTCAATTAATCCCTAATTTGGAGACCTACATTAGAAATATCAAAAAAGAAATCAAATACCCTGTCTTTTAAAATATGATTTTACATATATATATTTCAACTTTTGCTCAAAATAACATTTTGAGTAAAGTTATTTTTATTAAAAATCCTCAAATTCCTAAAGCAATAATGAGCAAAAATGTTTGCATATAGGCAAATTCAGGAAAAATGAAATGTTCACAGACTGCATTTTTTCCCATATGTTGGCAAACAAATGCTGAATTAAACTAGATTATATTGTCTATTGCTTGTTGGACACTACTGGTTAACATATGAGAAATAAAAATACAAAAAGATGTTGATCCCTTACCCTTTAAATCTGTACAGGACTTTAGAATTTGGTTAGTAGGTTTATTTATATTGTATTCATGTTATCTTACACCCGGCATTCAGAGAAAGACATTCTTATTACTTTCCACTTTCAGGGGAAAAGCAGACTCAGAGATACAAAGGACTCACTGACTGACACTGTTACCAAGACAGTTAGAATGAAGATAATTTGATCCTATCCAGTTGGACTTTTGTGCCAACACACGCCAGGCACAAGAAGGCTCAGGATAGACCCGTAGTCATGTACTTCCTTACCTGTGGCTGTAGGAGCTTCTCTCTCATAAGTCAGTCAGGGCAGAGCAAGCTGAGCAATAAAAGAAGTAGCATTGCTGACATTTTCCTTAAGTTCCAGGGAATGATTGCTGTTCGGAGTCCACTGGTGACCACACATGTTGCTCAGGTGGTTTCAGGGATCAGTGGTTCTGGACATCTGGGCCTCCAAGATGCTTCTGGAAAAAGTTTTAGTGGCAATTCTGACTTTTACAGCAAATGTCTTTTTAAATGTATGATCTATATTTCATAAGCTTGGTCATTTTGTGGGTGACTGATTTTGGATGATACATTCTGGTTTATTTAATTACTCCGGTGTACTGTGAAGGTATGTGTTTTATAATGATTTAGACCTCAGTTTCATAAGAGATTCTTGTTTTGCCATAAACCTTTGCATGTAATGAGATTAAATACAGAAATAGGATGGTTCATTTAAAACTCACTGGCACAGTGAAAAGAAGACAGATTCGTTGCAGAAAAGTTTGTGTTGGAATCCTGGTCTTTTAACTTGGTTTGTGATCTTGGGGAAATTGACAAACCACTCTGAGCCTCTGTTTCTTTGTTCTTCTTCCATCAAGAACATGGGAATAATAATCTATAGCCTAGTGTTGTCAGAATTAAATGAAAAGAATATTTATTATGATATCAGAAAGATGGTGTTAAATAATCGTGTATATTTTCAACTGGATTACCTATAATAGCAAAAGTAAAAAAAAAAAAAAAAAAAAAGCAGGTGAATAAAGAAAGAAAAGCAGTTATCCAGATACTGGGTGGAAGAACTATGCTGTGCATATGGTAGATTGAATAAGTATTTGTTGTCTGAACTAACTTCTCTTAAAATGCTTTGAAATCTAAAACAAACAGCTTAAGGGACTTCCCTGGTGGCACAGTGGTTAAGAATCTGCCTGCCAGTGCAGGGGACGCGGGTTCAAGCCTGATCTGGGAAGCACCCACATGCCTCGGAGCAGTTAAGCCTGTGCACCACAACTACTGAGCCTGCGAGCCACAACTACTGAAGCCCGTGTGCCACAACTACTGAAGCCCGTGAGCCACAACTACTGAGCTGGCATGCCTGGAGCCCGTGCTCGGCGACAAGAGAAGCCACCGCAATAAGAAGCCTGCGCACCGCAACGAAAAGTAGCCCCCACTCGCTGCAGCTAGAGAAAGCCCGTGCGCAGCAACGAAGACCCAAAGCAGCCAAAAATAAACAAATAAATAAATAAATTTTAAAATAAAATAAAGCAAACAGCTTAAGAATACAGAATGTGGGTGTGATGTTTTCATCATCAGTCTTACTCTTTTCATTCATGTCATAGGTTCCCTACTCTGTGCCTTGAGGAATGACTTCATGACCGCAACAGGAAAGCTGGGCTGGACAGTGCATTTGTTTACATTACAAGAAATGTTTATGAAATATTTAAACAAGAGCTGAGTAATAAATATCATAACCACACTTCACAGATACATCCATATATCTAAACAAAAATGCAATTTAAATTCACAGATAAAAAAGTATGAATTATATTATCTGATATTACACTATGGGTAATATGGGAATTTCAAACCAAAAATTTGGACTAAACTGGTTTGTTTTGAAAGAGTTTGCTATTCAAAATATACTTTAGTAATACTAGTTTCTCTGAGAGGAAAGAAAATGTCTATTTACACTTGAATTAGTTACTTGATCATTTATTTTACACCAACACATTACAATTTGTGAATTCTAGAAATGTTATCTTATTGACATTGGTACAGTGTTGGAATAACTAGGTTTTCAGCGCTTGAAATGAAAATGATTGTGCAGAGTATGCTGATTGTTTGTTGTTAGAATGTAGAAAGAGAATGACAAAGCAAGTTGCTAAGGGAATTAAGGGTTTACTTTCTCCACGATGTGCTTATAATCACACTGACTTTTCTGTATGTTTGCCAAAATGTTCTGATATTTAGCTGCGAAATAAGTTTATCTGTTTATTTTAATAATGATGGTGTCTCTAGGAATGGTTTACAAGTATAGATAATAAAGCACTGCCATTATGCTGTTAACCATAAAAATACAACTGATGCTAAGCATTCTACCTAGTTGAGTTTTCCCTAC